GGAGAAGAAGCCAAATTTTTCATGTGGGTGTTCTATCTTGGATTCAGTATGTCTATACCATTCTGTCTACTTCTGTTTTTGTTCTCAGTGATTATTATGTAGTGACACAGCCCACTGCTACCATGAACCAGTTTTTTCACAAGTCTGTGGGGAGCCTGTATAGTGAACAGGTCTGCCTTCCATTTCTCTGTCTGGTTCTATTCAAAAGTATTAATTTGATCCATAGGAAACAAAATCATTCTCTCCAAAAGATACCTGAACTCCCATGTTCATTGCAGCATTATTCACAGTACCAAGGTACAGAAACAACTGAAGTGTCCATCAATGGGTGAATGGATAAATGTGATAAATATATATCACATATATATATAATGGGAATATATATATATATAATGGAATATATATATAATGGAATATATATACAATGGAATATTATTCAGCCTGAAAAAAGAAAGAAATCCTGCCATTTGTGACAACATGGATGAACATGGAGGGTACTATGCTAAGTAAAATAAACCAGGCAGAGAAAGACAAATACGGCATGGTATCATTTATGTGTGAAATCTAAAACAAACAAACAAACAAAAAAACATAGAAACAGAGAATAAAATGGTGGCTGCCAGGGGCTGAGGAGTGAGGGAAGATGGGGAGAGGTTGGTAGGAAAGAGTATAAACTTTCAGTTATAAAATGAATGTGCTCTTAGGATATAATGTATACCATGGTGACTATAGTTAATAATTATTCTATAGTTGAAATTTGCTAAGACAGTAGAACTTAATGTTCTCATAAAAAAGGGGGGGATATAAAAGATGATGGAAATGCTAATTAACTAAATTGTAGGAATCCTTTCACAATGTATACATGTATCATAGTATCATATTGTACTCTTTAAATATATGACAATTTTGTCGATTATATCAATAAAGAAAAAATAGGTACAGAAGAAAAAACAAGAAAGCTTCCCTCCCCCACCAAAAGCCTCAAAATGTGAGCTTGCATTTGTGAGAAACCTTGGCCCTACTGGTAGCTTGTGATCCTGGGACAGTCACAGGTTCTCTCAGAGTCTCAGTTTTTCTCATTTTTTTTTAAATGATGCTTAAACCATCTGCTCTCCAGTGTCATACATTTCAGATAGTCTGACATTGGTGGAAGTATTTTAGAGAGACTGGCAACCTTTCAGAAGACAGTGAAAGGGAGGCTGTAAGACTCCTTTCCTCAGAGAGACATGGTGGTGTTGAACACAAAAAAAGCCTGAATGGGCATCCCAACACTGCTTACCACTTGGGCAAGTTATGAAACCTCTGTAAATCTCTCCAGTTTCTGAAATATAAAGTCACTGGGCATGGCTTTAGGAAACATGAAGTTCCTAACATACAGGGGGCCATTTAAATTCAAAAAAATTATTAAAAGATCATTTATTTGGCTGCACCATTTCTTAGTTGTGGCAAATGGAATCTAGTTCCCTGAGCATAGATGGAACCTGGACCCCCTGCATTCGGAGCTCAGGGTCTTAGCCACTGGACCACCAGGGAAGTCCCACAGGGGGCATTTAAATATGGTAGCTATTATTATTTTGACAAGCAATTATTGAATTACACTGAAGAGCTAGCATGTTCAGATTATCAAGCTTTACTTTTGAAGACTGTGTACCAATTCACTTTGATCCCTAAGGAAAAGCTAGAAGAGAATCGAGCTGTCCTAGCAAACCAGACACCCTGATCTTCTTTACTAGATGGCTGATGTTAACTCTGAAAGCTCACACACACCACACTTTAGGGAAATCTGGACAAGGACATCTCTTCATTTTAGAAATCTCTGCCTAAGTCTCCACCCTCTGTGGCCACAGGAATTCTAGTGGACTGTTGGGATCTCAAAACATTTTTGTATTCTAAAGAAGATAAGATTATAGTGCAATAATTCCCAATCCCCTTTTTAAAGCACCAGAATCTTATTTTAAAGTTAAAATTTTTTTCAAGAAATTCCATATAATAATAGTTCTACTTTCAGTAGCTTTTGATTGAGAAAATACATGACAAAAAAATCAGCACAACTAAAAAAGATTAGAAGATCCTCTCTAACATTTTTTGAAATAGGTGTTATATGAATGTGATAAAAAATTCACAAGGTACAAAAGGGAACATCATGAAAAGCATTCTTCTTGCACACCATTCCTTCATTGCCCTTCTCCAGAAAAATACTACTGTTTCCATTTCTTCTGTGTCCACTCAAAGGTAATCTAGAATCTACAAATATTTATGTATTTATCTTTTATTAATGTTTTTCAATTATTTGTCCTTTAAGACCAAATGATAGCATATCTTGCTACTTTTCTTCACCTGTTGCACTTTTCTGCATACTTAACTATGTCATGTTATACTTGAAAATGGATATGTGAGAAAAAAAAGAGAATATGTATTTTTATTCATCACACTGGCATCTAGTATTGCAAAATTTCATTGCATTTTTAATATACAGAAAGTCCTAGTGAGCAATAACTAAATACCACATAGAGAGTCTCAGCTCTGAGATTACTTATACACTGGTATAAGTAAAATATCAATAACATTCAGCATTAATTTTGGCCCTTACTCTACACCAGACATTGTTCTAAGCACTTTACACTTATTATCTCACATAATCCACATCCTTCAAATCCTTCTAATCCCAGTTTAAATGTTATCTCCTCAGAGAAACCTTCCCTTATCCAAGTAGACCTATCCTCTCCCCCTATCCATCATTTCCTATCATCTCATCCTATTTTTTTTTTCAATCAGGACAGTTACCTATTCACCTGCTTGTTTAGTGTTGTCTCCCCAGATGGAGTAAGAGCTTTGGGAGTGGGGACAGTGTCAGTTCTGTTCACTGCAGTATTTCCACTGACCAGTCCTAGGCTTTGGTGCCTGGCACAGAAGAGACATTCTGCCAGATATTTACTGAATTAAGTACATAATGAGCAAAAAACAATTTGTGAGGCAGACCTCAGTATGATCCCTATGATATGAATAAAGAAGCTAAGCCCTAGAGAGGGAAATAGAGTCAAGCCCAAATTAGTAATGTACAAAATTGGTATGAAACCCAGCACTGCTTGACCCTAGAATGCAAGCTCTTCGCTGGTCTACTCTGACTACTCTGGTCTCAGAAACAGAAGATTGAGTACAATCTTGGCTGTGTGTGATCTTGAGTAATCCCCTTTTCCTCCCTGGGATTCTCTTCCATTGAAAAAAATGAAAGGGTGGAGTTACTAATCTTCCTTATAGCTATGATGGATGAAAACAGAAAAGGAGACACTGAAGGGGCCAACAAGATGGGCTTGATGCCTTTAAGAGAGCTGAGTTTCCATTGAATAATTCCTACCTTCCTTTCTTCTGAGGATTTGCTGATCTTTATTCTATGCCAGGCACTGTGTTGGGGGCCCCTTTGGCATCCAAAGACTAATAGGATATAGTCCCTGCCATTAAGGTGCTCAGCCTGATGGGTCTAAAGCAGACCTATTAATAGCTGCTTGAAGTACAGTACAGGTCTTTGTCATAACAGTAATGTACATGGCACTTGGTAATGCAGAAGAGGAAGGGATTAACTTCCTCTTTGTGTGTGTATGGTGGTGGGGATGGTGGTACACACATAGGGAGGGAGAGATGAGGCATACTGCTGAGCTGGGCCTTGGAGCTAGAATAGTTTTCCAGGTGGACAAGGCAGAGGTGTGACTTCTTGGATACAAGAGACATCATGTCCAGAAGCACACCCAGAACCAGCACAATGTGCCGAGGATCACTAGGGTAGAGGCTTGGCTCCCAGAGGATTGAGCTGACTGTGAACCCATGAAGAGCCATGCTGGAGAGTTTGGACTTTACTCCTGAGGGCAGTGGCATGGCCAAATCATATTTATATTTTATTTTTAGAAGATCACTCTGGCAGTGGTAGGACTGGAGGAGGGTGATGAGGTGAAAGGTGTGGAAACCAGTTAGAAGGCTGTGGGGTGGTCAGGTAAGAGATGAGGAACACCTGCACCTCATGTATTCATACAGTTGCAAAGAACTAAATAAATTGGGTTGTTGTTGTTTTTTTTAAGGTAGGGGCTTTTTAAAAGGTAGGGATTTTTTAAAAGGTAGAGGCAAAGGATTTGAAGGTTGATTGGATGAGGGATAATAAAATGAGACTGAGGGTCTTATTGCGCCAGGTTGGATGGCCAAGTATAAAATGGTTCCCTTAATAATTACTTGGAATTTGGAGCTGAGTGGGAGAAATAATGATGTTGGCTTTGAGTATGTTAAGTTTGGAATGTCTCTTAGCCAGGAGGAAAAGCTCTAGCTCCCTCCTCCCTTTCCAGAATAGCATTCCCAGCTCAAGTCAGACGTCCTCCATCCTTCAGCTAGTTTCCTGCAGTCCTCAGTCGAGGATGAGATTCTCCAAGACCTTACTGGAATCCCTGAGCTCTGTATCCTTCAAGGACATAAGCTGGGTATTAAAAACTCTCCGGATCCTTAATGATAGAGTGAGAAAGGATCCTTAACTTGCTTTTTAAAATCAGATGCTGGCTTCAGTGGAGCAAACTCTCCTGCCTCTTGTAAGCATCGATCTTTGAGAAAGAAACCATTTCCTGTGGGGTAGCTCTGGCCCTGACCATCTCTGGCTCTCACGTTGGCTCCCAAGAAGCCCCCACCTCCTTAGGGAGCAGCTTTAAGGAAAAAAAAGAAGAAGAAGAAGAAGGTGATGAGCTTGTGTAGCATGCAGCCTGGTTCTGCCTGGCTGCTGGAGAAAGCCCAGAGACTTAGGGGCTGGACCCTCTCTTAACCACCACCCCTGGCTGGGTGGCCCCAACGCCTAGCCAAGACTCCATGTAGCCTCAACTGTTCCCCCAAATGACGGAGCTGGGATCCTCCCCAGCTGACTCGAATCTCCAGCCACTCACCAGGCGGTGGAGGACCAAGCCCGTGGGCTCAATTCGGGACTGGCCCCTAGGGTCCTGCCGGGGCAGGGAATACACAACCCAGGAGGCAGGTCAGTCACCCCGGCCGTGGCTTCTCCCTGGCTCCCACAGCCGAAGTCTAAAGGCAGTGCACACCCTGTGTCCCACACCCACCTTCATAGGACGGTACCAAAATCCGCTACCTCTACTCCGCCCTCTGCTCACGCACTGCCCCCACTGTCGTGCCCATAAATCCCCAAAGCACAGGGTAGCACGATTCCTCCCGCTTCCCTGCGGGGCCTGAAGCTGGGCACTAAAAGCAGTGCAGTCCCAAGCTTCCCCTGCAGAAGCCGCGCTCCCCACTCGGTTCGGGGGTAGAGGGGGCGCGAGAGAGCAAGTGTGAGGACGTCCCATCCTCCGCATCCTCCTCCCGGTCCCGGCGCGCAGGGTGGGAGCGCTGCGCCGCTCCGCGCTGCGCATCTCGGCCCGCTCGCCGCCTGCCCCCCTGCCCTAGCTGGGCCACCTCCCCGGGCCGCCGGTGGAGGGCTACTGGGCGCTAACGTTACGCTGTTTCCGGTTTTCCAGCGGGCTCTGCTTTCCGCTCCCAAGGCGGCGGCGGCGGCGGCGGAGCGGCGGAGCCCCCCAAATGGCCTGGCCAGATGCGGCAGGTTTGCTGCTTAGCGCTGCCGCCGCCGCCGCCGCCGCCAGTGGAGAAGGCTCGGTGCAGCAGCTACAGCGACAGCAGCAGCAGCGAGAGGAGCAGCAGCAGCAGCGGCAGCGGCAGCGGCAGCAGCGGCGAGAGCGGCAAGAGCAGCAGCAGCCACATCAACAGCAGCAGCATCTCTCGTCCCGCTGCGCCCCCAAAGCCGCGGCCGCCGCAACAGCCGCAGCCCCGCAGCCCCGCAGCCCCGAGAGCCGCCGCCCGCTCGCGAGCCGCAGCCGCCGGAGGCATGAGGCGCGACCCGGCCCCCGGCTTCTCTATGCTGCTCTTCGGTGTGTCGCTTGCCTGCTACTCGCCTAGCCTCAAGTCGGTGCAGGACCAGGCGTACAAGGCGCCCGTGGTGGTGGAGGGCAAGGTACAGGGGCTGGCCCCGGCCGGCGGCGGCTCCAGCTCCAACAGCACCCGCGAGCCGCCCGCCTCGGGTCGGGTGGCGCTGGTGAAGGTGCTGGACAAGTGGCCGCTCCGGAGCGGGGGACTGCAGCGCGAGCAGGTGATCAGCGTGGGCTCCTGTGCGCCGCTCGAAAGGAACCAGCGCTACATCTTTTTCCTGGAGCCCACGGAGCAGCCCTTGGTCTTTAAGACAGCCTTTGCCCCTCTCAACACCAACGGCAAAAACCTCAAGAAAGAGGTGGGCAAGATCCTGTGCACTGACTGCGGTGAGTTGCCCCCTCTCTCTGCTGGAGAAAGGGGGGAGGGGCGAGGTGGTGGAAGATGGGGGTGGGGCGGGAGGTATCTGCAGGTGCCCGGGCCTGGCAGCGCCCCGGGCCGCTGGTGAGGGGGAGGGGGGTGGCGGGAGAACGGATGGTGGGGCCGTCGCTGGGCAGGGCGCTTGGCATGGTGGGTTGAGGGGGTTGGTGTTGGGGAGAAGGAAGATTAGGCTCGAAGTGTGCCAGGGCTGGGGGGCGGGGGGACGCGCTGGCCTGTGCCAGCAGGGATCTGCGGCTGATGTATGGCATGTGGGGCTGGAAAGCTGCCATCATAGCCCAGTAGCGGCAGGAAAAACGGAGAGGTCCTCGTGTTGCTGGCCCGAAGCTCAGTGAGTCAGGAGTGACCCTCGGAGGCCTTGCCCGCTCTGCTCCCAAGGGCCTGCCTTGCCCAGGCTGGCAGGGTCTGCAGGAGCAGCTGAGCAGACTCCCAGGCTGTGAAGGCCTCCGCTTACAAGTTCTCCTAGGGAATGATGGCCCCCGCCCCCTCCTTCCTCTCAGGGGCTTCGGCTCAGCTCATCCACACCGCTGGCGCAGGCAGAGTTGGACTTTTTCTGCTGTTTTCTGTCCCCCATGTGGTTCAGGGTTTTGTTTTGTTTTGTTTTGTTTTGTTTTTTCTTCCATCGTGATTGCTTGTCTTTGCTGAGCTGGTTGCACAGCCCTCTCTTAACCTCCAGTACTAGTGAGCAGACAGCTCTTTTGGCCGTTTCTGGGAGATCTTCCTAGGTCTGACGGGTGAAATGGAGTAACTTCTGAATGCTGTGAAGTTCAGCTCTGACATCTTACCACGCAGGCTGTGTTGACTGCCTATCTCATCTTCCTGATGTTGGGTGCTGCACAGGAATGCAGGTGATGAGAAACACAACAGTGAAGTCTGTCAATCTCTGCAGCTGGGAATGGAGTCTCCCATGTCAAAAGTCAAAGAAATGTCAGTTTAAGATCTTTTCCTCCTTGTCCCTGAATCCAGTAATTACTTCTCAGGAAGCTATTTCAAACCAAATTGTCGCTGGAGTGGAGTGTTTGGTGTTAACCTGTCTTGTGCTTATTCATATGGGGGTTTCATTTTGTCCCAACTAAGGCTGAATTTGATGTTTGCAGTGTGCGTCTGAGCTGTGCAGTCACTGAACTGTGATAGATACCCTGGTCTGTCATAGAAGCTGGTATATTTACTAGTCTGCCAACTGCTTCTGAATAGTGTAAATAATACTCTGAGTAGCAAAGAATGTGTAACAGCTCGGAGGAAGTTTTTCTGCCCTCATCTTTCTAGATCAATGCCTTTGACTTTTGGAAGCTTCCTTTCTACCGCATATCCCCCACCCCCTCCCTGCCCCTGTCCCTCAGGACACAAATTTTAGTTTGTGGTGGGAGTATATCTAGGTATTATGTTAAACTGTGATCACTTTAATCAGAAGAATCTTGCAGTGTCTTAATAAGGAAGAAAGAAACTTTTGGTGATAACAGCAGTTTATCTCTCTGACATTGTTCTGAGGAATATTGTTGACCACTCTTTAATGTTGGTTTTATGCTCTGAGACATTTTATGATAAGTTGAGACCAGTTAAGAATTTCTAATTTTTTATTCTGTTAAGTGATTATTTTTTTCTGAGATTCCTTGGGGGAGCTGTGGAACTGTATTATGCAGCGAGAAATAGATAGTAAAAACATTTATTGAACCTTGTCCAAGGACAGCTTCTGTTTTGGTTTCCAGTGAGTTGCTCCTGAGTGTGCAGTGTGTGCATCACCACCTAATCCCCAGTCTGGTGCACAAAGCCCCAGCTGTCATCACCCCCTGTCGTGCTCCTCTGTTCCCCCTTCTTCTTTCAGTTATACCCTGTTTGTTTTAGTGAGTATTTAATAGCTTAATAGTTGAATGTGGAGATCATGAAAGACCTAGGGGTCAGAAATATAGTCCACTTTTAGGCTGTGATCATCTCGTAAACATAGCATGTGTAATGTAGTTCTCAGGAAGATAAATTTAGGGCTGCAAGCACTGCTAATGAGAAGGCCCTCACATCACAGATTATCAAGGGGCAGGAACATGTATGGGAGTAAACATATTAGAATACAAAAATTTTTGCATTGAATTGATGGTAAATAGATACACATCAGTTTGGGGGGGCTTTATCTAAGGGGATTAGGAATTAAAGCACATTTCCTCGAAAAAACTTTTGGAACTGGTGATAATATGACAGAAGAGCATAAACTGCATTTTCTTACTTTCTACAATGTTTTTAAAGAAAACATGCACTAGTAATGGTATATTAAATAAGGAAGCAAATCTTTTAAACTAACCACAACACCTTCCTTGTGTTCAGCAGGAAATAACTAACAAATTCATTTTCTGTTTTCTATGTCTAAAGAAAGCCCTCTGGGCCAAAGGGTCATTGGGAACATTTTCTCCTTGGAGCAGATCTGCCCATTGCAAAATAGGGAAACTGGCACCTGGAAACTGTCATGATGGCCGTTATATTGAGCAACTGTGGTTGCATTGTTACTTTGTTTAGCCAGTTTCAGCTCTGAACTGTCTGGGTTCTGGGAGGTATGGTCCCTAGGGAGATCTTTCAGAAAGCTGTATTTTGGTGGGCCAGGACTTGGGGACAAGATGCCCTATGGAGAGATGAAGGTCTTAATAAGTGGGTAATTTTACCACAACTATGAATGTTGACTTGAAGCCTGTGAAGTCCTCCTGGAATAGCAGTATTTGCTAGAGGCCTTTTTTATAGATCTAATGTGTATCATTCATCTCACATTACTACCTCTGGTGGTAAAGAGTGGAGTAAAATCTTTGCATTTCTCAGAAGACTATATACATGGATGTGTTTTCTGTGCCTTCTGAGAGAAGGACAGGAAAAAGATTTGAAAAGGACTCTCATGGATTAGAAATTCTGTACTATGCTATACAAGCATCCTGTTCTGCAAATAGTCCTGCATTTTTAATGATGGTTGCATGTATCTTGGCTTAATCACACCCTTTCTTGTTGCTCTCCTGTATGTATATGGCTTTTAAATTGTTTCATTATTGAATAGATGCAATAAGTATATGTATATATATTTAAAGAAAGATCATTCTTCCTTTGGGACTTTCTGATTTGGCTTTTTCTTCCAATGTATAGTGTACTTTGTTGTTAAAGATAGAAAAGGTGTATTCCTGGGGATCTTTATGTTCTTTAGAATACTTTAAATTAATGTGGTACTCAGATTCACATGTTAGAGCAAGGTGGTCCACAAAATTCAGTATAGCAAAAGCAAGTGCATATTTTTAAAATGCTGTTTATTTAAAGAATCTTTTCTTCCCCAGCCAGCAGGAAACCCAGCTGTGCTGCAGCTAGAAGATGGGAAAGTGAAAGTAGATTAGAAACTGACCAGTCCTAGTAGTGAGGAAAGGCTTGGTTATAGATTTAAGGGTAGAATTATCATTATAATGTCATTATTTCTTTCAGTGGCTGCGTTTCTTAGCCGATCCGGATTCTTGGGGCAGGAACCTTATCTTATCTTTGAGGTCTTTCTCCTAGCTTTCCTGCCCTTCAATGTTTGATACTGCCCCTGGTTTACAGAGGGATTCTCATAAGTGTCTTTTGAATGGATGAAGTCAAGTGAAGTTCAAAAAGCAGTCCTCCAGATTAATACTTTTAAACCAGTCTTATTTCTCCTATCTGTGACACCAAGTCTGGTGCTGGAAAGCTGAGTTTGATGATAAGCCCTTACCTGTCGCTATGGGAACCTTTTTTTTCTGAAGTTGTTATCAACTAGAGTACTTAACCACAATGTGCTTAATCATTATGCTGATTAGTGTTAATGGGATTTGTGGAGAATCTACATCTTGTTGGAGAAGACCCCCCCCCTTTTTTAGAGGGCAGTTTATCACCTCCCGAAACTCCCATGTCTGAACAAAAATAACTATCAGCTTGAATTAACAAAAGATCTGGGAGCTAGAGGGGGTGGTATATTAACTAAGTAGGTGACTAACTTCTTATTGGTCCCAGTGCTCTTAACTATCTTTTATTATATTTTAATTTCATTTTCTAATAGCAAACATGTCATTAACTTTTCCCTTTTAAGATTGTATGTATATTTTGAATATGTAAAACCTTCATATGGCTCAAAATTTAAAAAGCACACAAGAATATACAGTGAACAGTTTCCTTCTTACCCCTGTCCTCAGCTAACCAGATCTTAGGCAATTATTACATATTCTTTAAAAGTGTATTTCCCTAAAAGCAAAATATTTTTCAAAGTAATCTCGTATTTTTTCTTAACAGATGGAGAATGTTAATTTTTCCATTAAGTCAATATTATGGTAAATTCTTCCCTGGTAGTATATATATAACTTTTTTTTTAAACCTAATCTAAAATCTCAACCAGTATCCTGCCTTACAAATATAACCCTAGGGTAAGGAGTAAAAATACCAACTTATTTTTCAGATACTTTGCCATTAAGAAGTTTTCCATGACAGTGCATTTTGGAGTGAGTCTTAATGGAGATGCTCAAAGGAAGATGCAAATGTTTGTCACTGAGCTTTAGGGCAGCAGCCCTACTCACACAGCAGTTGCTGCTGTTTACACTCTTGGTAGGTCATCTCACAATAGCATCCATGTGGGAAATCACATGATCCCATATATGGGAAGAGAAAACGCCACAGTGCCTGATTGCTTTAATTCTCACTTAGAAGCCAAAGACCTCAGTTGCTGACAAAGAACTTGATTTTGATCATATATGTGTACAGCTGGTAGGAATCCACAGGGAATTGGCCACTTGAATACAATTTTGAAGTATGTTTAAGGTAACTGACTTGAATGTAGTGTTAAATTTTCAGAGGATCAAAGAATTCCCATTTGGATAAGTAGGGTTAAAGCAAATATGCAAACCTAAACAGTGGGCATTCTTAACCCTCTAAAGCCTATTGGCTTAGTAGCAAATGGCAGTTTTGAACATTGACTTGGAAAAGGAATGAT